AATTGTATGTTTCTGTAAAAAATAAAAAATTATTGAAAAAATAAAAGCGTGCAATACTTTTGTCCCCCCCCCCGGTACATCATTATAAACAATTTTTCTGGTGGGTGATTATAATAATCTTTTTTAAAAATATGTAAAACGATTCCAAACATACTTTATATTACAAATTTCATTTCCCGTAGAAAAAAATCCAACTTTATATTATTTAGTTTGAATATTCAGTCTTCCAAATTACGAAATATCTCTTTAGTGGACAATTATTTTTAAATCATTGAACGAATCAAAAATTTCTTTCGCGCCCATTTGCATAACTGATATTCTATTTTGTGATACAAATAAATTACAGATTCGTTTATATAAATATTTATTTATTTATTTTGAGTAAATAATTTTCTTCATTCCAACCAATGAGTCACCTTTAACAATAAATCTCTGTAAGTGATTGTTTAGTTTTGACTTACGATTTGTATTTCGCGAAAATGTTGATGCAATTCCGATTTAAAAAATAATCATAAATAGGGATTAAAATTACTAAAAAACGCGGTTGCACTCAAGTCAACTTTGATAACATTTTTTCCAAAATTATTATATGTTACAAAAAAGAAAAAAAACTTCTTTTTTAAAACCATCGTGCGTAAATTGCGATATTGTAATTTTGCGAAAAGGTTCACCCAAATGGGCTAGCGGAAATTCGAAAATAGATGAATTTATTAGATATACCCAACTAAATACTGACGATGATATGAACAACCTTGAATGGATTGATTTCCAACAGTTTGAATCAGTAGAAAGCATTAATCAACGAGGTGCCTTCAGCACAACATCTTCCGCAGTTTGGAGGGAAGGACCAAGATGGAAATTGGACGAAAAACCGAAAGACGGGTAAGACGTGGACCAACCAAGGTTATATTAAAGCGGTTAAATAATTCACAATACACGAGCCAAGAATTTATAAACAAAGTAAGTTAGATCCTTAAATTAACAATAATGTTAATAAATAAAAAGTTCTATAATGAAAATAAATTATTTATTCAATACAGTTGTATAAATACCACCGATGTTTCCGGAGTGGCGCATTGGCTGATTGCTTTGGTATGACAAAAGATCCAACGTCGTGTTACATATTTGTTATGAAGTATTACGAGAACGGGAATTTATATTCATACCTCGACGAATTTATGGAAGTTCGTCCTTTGAAAGGTATTGTAAATATGTTATGGGAAATATCAGCTGGTCTTCATTCCATTCATGACAATGATCTCGTTCATGGAAATTTACACGGAGGAAATATATTAGTTGAAAACAAAGGAGACTCAAATAACATGCGTATTTCTGATGTAGGATTACCAATTGATAAGAAAAATTCAAATGAAATATATGGAGTTCTTCCTTATGTAGCTCCTGAAATTTTGAAAGGAAATCCTCCAACGAAAGCTTCAGATATCTATAGTTTTGGAATCATCATGTGGACACTTTCTGCGGGTATCCGGCCATTTTATAATAAACCACATGATCTTAGATTGGCTGTTCAAATTTGTATTGGTTTTCGTCCTGAAATTACCGATGGAATTCCAGAAGTTTATATTCAAACAATGACTCAATGCTGGCACTCCGATCCTTCAAAGCGTCCAACTGCAGCTCAATTATATGATTTATTAGGAAGTTGGTCGGATCCTAATAAATCTGAACCATTTGACCAAGATGTAATTACTGGATCTCGCCAACAAATCGATCCTCGCGCTTATTATACAAGCAGACTCTTACACTTTCCCGAGGAGGTAAATGGCTTTCTTCGTTGAAGAGACTCTCTTTTTAAAGTAGGGAAAACCCCCCGTTTGATTGCTCGTTTCACATAATCTAAAATAACAAATAAGATTATATAAATGAATACATAAGCAAACTACCGTACTTAGATTAATATATAAGCAAACTAATATTAATTTAAATTATCATTCGTGCCATTTTAGAAGGATGGTAATACACTACAATAAATTACCGGATTTTATAAATTTTACTTAGTAATAAGCAACAATTTTTTTATATGTTTTTTTGCATTTTATATATAAATTGTCTTGTCTATTACTTTACAAATGAGTATTTTTCGGCATTTTATAAATAGAATATTTTTGAATTACATTTTTAAAATTATAATTGATTGGTTATTAAATAATAAAAGATTCGTCAATCTGAAAATCTTCTGTAAAATTTAGGGTAGCGTACTGAAAATAATTAAGTTTACAACAAAATTGTTTCATCAGATGTCTACAAATATACTAAATATAGAAATGAACTAAGATGATGACAATAATTTAGGATACAAATTAAAATAATCAAATATGAATAATCAATTTTTTAATTTAAAAATCTGTGATATATCAGTTGGTATAAAACGTTAATGATTAAAAATTATTGAACTCGGAATGAGAAATCATGAACTTCCGTAAAAAAATATTCAGTTGAACAAAACCTAGCGCGAGCTTCAATAGCACATTATTACCAAATTTTGTAAAAAAAATCTCTAATAAACCTTTGTATTTTTTTTTGATGATATTATAAATATTATTTTAATAATATACATTCAGGATTAACAAATGAAGGCAAATATAAATACTATATAGATATATTAAGTCGTAAATTTCATATTTAAAAAATTAAAAACGATATATTCGAGAACTCAAATTATAAAAAAAAATGTTTATCCGAAAATTACCACTTCCCAGAAATAAAGTACATTGACTTGTGACTTGTCCAAATTGACTTGGAGAACAAGAATAAATTTCTATAAAATACGGATTGGAAGAAAGTTTGAAGCATTATTTAAACTCCAATTTTAGCATCATAATCTTTAATCTTAATAGGTATTCAAAGATAAATGATATATCAAACTTTTATAATGAATATTTTTTAAAAACCGCAATAAATAATGTTCTTCTTTATATTATTCTAAGTCAAGCATATGGATGGTCATTCCCGTTATAATACTAAAAATTAAAGGTAGTGATAGAAAGCATATCAGGCCAGAAAAAGATTTCGATTATTAGAAATTTTCAGGGAATTAATGCTAAACTTTATGTTAAATTTAACGCGAACATTACAAGTTGTTTTATTTAATGGTATTTTGATATATGAATAATCATATTAATCAGAGAGAGAAAGAGATTTTTTTATATTCTAAAAGCTAGTTTTTAAAATTTCTGATATGCGTCCAAAATCGATTACGTTTTTAATATATAATTTAAACTCGTTAAACTATATATTGCTTATCGTCAAAACGTTCAGTTTTGACTACAAAAACGTTTCTTAATCCTATGTTTGGGCGGCTAATCGCGAAGGTGATTTACTTTAATATATGCGTATATAAGTAACAAGCAAAACAGCAATTAAAACAAAAACGACATGCTAAACCATCATCTAATGTGATTGAACATTTTTCACGGGATATGACATCAGCTCAACTTCAACCTCGGGTTTTTAAGAAGCATTCTTTACATGATATTGTTAAAAAATAACAATCTGATTGGTTTCTTTATATGAGCAAACTTTAGATGCGTGAGAAAATTAGTAATGAGATACACAATAAGGTTCGTGATTTACATAAGTTTTTTAGAATTAGAAAAATAGTTTTTTTTACAATGTATTTTTTTTAATATATATTAAATTAATAAATTAATTTTTTTTTTATTTAGATATACTTGAGCGTAATACCAATCAATAAATCCAGCTGGAAAATGTGGCATAATTCATCAAAACAATATTCAAACGCTATAGAGAAAGATAAAATTATAATTTGTGCGATTTTATTGAACTTTGTTTCAACATAAAAGCATGAATTCTTCGAAAGCTTAATAATTTACCTTAAAAATAAAGATATTGTCTAAAATCTTATTAACGATGAATAGCCCATTGGATAATAATTTTTGATCTAAATATTTACATATGGGCTAATTTGAATTCCGCAAACAATTTGGCGAGGGCGGTGATGAAACAAAAAGCGGATGAAAATGAGATCATTGGTGAATCTTGGTGCGTTTGTAGCCATGCCAAGCCCATGCGTACTGAAGGAAGAACCAACGTCTTTCAAAGAACCCAAAAATTACTAAATATAGTGTAATTTCAGCAAATCTTACTATATTTAATCATTATTGTAAACAAATTGATTGGCGGAATTGGTTAATTAGCCAAGATTTTATCATTTAATTATAACGATCTAAAATAAACGGAAATCGATTCCCCCCTTTTTTTTTCTTTATTTCACTTAATCGAGAATTAGATATCCACTTTACTAACCTTTTTCCTTTCACAAATTTTTGTGATCAACATACTTAGGATAGAACAAAATTGAATACTTTTTCCACGGCATCTATTGGACTTTGAAAGGGATTGAACGGATGATCAATGAAAATTTAATAAGGTCTGACATTATCGGACTGTTACCGAGCTAGAGTTATATGTAAAAGTTCATTAAAAAATTAATGCGTCGACGATAAAAAACTTTTTATTATCAAAATATTGAATCTTATAAATCAATTTCAATATTTTTTTTTTTACATATCCAAATAAATTAAATAAATCTCAAATGTGAATTTTCGGAACCGTCAGAAAATTATGAAAAATGTTATATTGTTTACCCATTCTGGTAAAAACAAAAGAAAAAAAAAGGTAGTTCTTAATTGAAAGCAATATGGTCCATACAAGTCAACATACGACTGGTTATAAACAAGTCGCATGATGAAAAAATAAAAAAAGGTTGCGATCAATTTAAAATTAATTATACGCCTCCTACTTATTAATTAAAAAGTTTTAAATATTTGAAGGTAAATTTACTTAATTACTAAAAAGTAGGTAACCATAAAGATATTTCATTTTTTATTTAAAAAAAAAAAGTAACTTAATATGAATAAAACTGACTTTATTGAATTTAAATTCCGATATTTTATTAATTTAAGCTCTGAACACCTGTAGTAAATGAACGCCAAAATTTATTCAATCAAGAAATTCAAAATATGGGATGATTACTAGAAAATTAGATTCTGGGATTCAGAGTAAACCTAGATAATACAATTTGGTTAAGAAAGAAAAAAAATATGAGAATTACATGCAGTATTAAAGTTATTAGAATAAAGAATATTATGTTTGTTGGAAAGACTTGAGAATCATTCATTTAATGGAACAGTTGGTCATAGTAATAATAATAATTAATTACTAATAAAAAAAAATAAGGTAATGGGAGAAGCCGAAAAAAATTATGTGATCATACGATTTTGGACCTTCGCATAATATTATTTTCAAATTATTAAAATAACAATAGCCTAAATTGTGAATTCATAAATGAGGCCCAATTCGCATTAAAATAATTAAAATAATTGACCCATGCATAAAGGTCTGGCCATATTGCTGCGAGGAAGAAAACGTGAATATCGTTTTGCGAAACTTGAAAAAGATGCACAGTGGTATAATGAACAAGCAAGTCTATTGAAAAAATCGTGCAATGTTAAGACAAGTTTGACAATTGGGTTAGCATTTACTCCTGCGTATACAACGTTGCAACTCCAATATTGTTGATTAAAAGCAAGGAAGTTTTTGTTGATGCAATTGCAAAAGAAGAATAATCAAAAGTTAGCTGTAAACGCCACATCATTCACATAACAACTTTGCTCAGGCTTTAGCTGACATTTTCGTATTCTTCAAAACGAACTACGTCTCCTTGCTCGCAACAGCGATGACAGACTTAAAAAGCACATTGTTACAAGTTTAGAAATAAAGTACCAACCATTGTTTCCGCATGCCAGTTCTATATGAAATAAACACATTACTGCCAAACTGACCTTCAAGTTATTCCACAAGACTTTGATAAAAATTATGTTCAGCAATGGATAGTCGAAACTTGATTATCAACACGTTTCTTTTTTTGTAATTGGGTAGAAAATTATTTATAACAAATACCGAAGTTATAACATTATTAAATAATATTCATTGTAAAATATTTTTGTGAAATTCTTAGAGTGAATTATACGATTTATCTTATAATTTTTTTTTCCTGTTTATGTTAATAAATAATTTTACCTGCTTATTTGCTCAATTTTAATACTTTAATTAAAAAAGAAAATGATGATGATGCTGCATTTCCATTGGAGATGAGTTATTTAAATCAAGAATAAACCATCATTTAAAATTAAAAATATGAATTATCATCACGTTATTACTGTGAACCACCTTTTCGTTTCAAGAAAAAAATAAAAATATTTAATATTTCAATAAAACAATGCATCTTTATTCTTTTAACCTTATATTATTATTGTATTTTCAATTGAGTTTTTTTTTTGGTAGATTGATAAAAACTCACTTTCTGGCCTTTATTTTATTTATTTTTTTTCAACTATATATCATTGTAAGTAAAGAAAAGAGAAAAACTGTCATTGATGAACCTTATCAAATTGACTTTTTTGACTTTTTTGTCAAAATTTAACCATTTGAATAGACTTCATATCCATTAATCTCGAATGGATTCACAGAAAACCAGTTAACTGAAAGGAATTCATTTGCAAAGTATATCTTATATAATTAGCATTACAATGAAAAGAAAGAGAAGGCTAATAATTAGCAGCTAGAATGATCAATGCTTCAGATAAAGTGATATTTATAGCTACATTTTGTCCCTTTCTTGTGTTATATATTTGATCCTTTTTGTTAGACACTAAGAATAAATGCATTCTATTATGCAATATAGGTAAACAGTTTGCTTTTTTTTACTAATGATCCTGCAGGCTTAATGGAGAATAACTTTGAAAATAGAACAGACATATTTTAGAAATATTGTACTTGCTAATTATATCAACATATTCATAAATATGATATTATCTTCAAATTTTTTATTTCTCATTTAGAATGCCTTTTATATAACCATTAATCCCTTATTAATATCTAATACAGTTAATTAAAGTAAATTTTAATATATTAAAAGGAAGCTAAATATATACACAAATGTATTTTTATATTTGCACTATTATTTTACTAAAAGCTTTTTTAGTAAGAATCTCTCATTTATGACTTTCTTTTACTTATTTCTTCTGTTAAGTTTCCTCATTTATAATACTATATTTTTATTTTTGTTATTATTTTTTTTGATACTTTTTAAAAAAGTAACTATATTAATAAGATTAGCAATAATTTTATAAGATTTTGAAAAGAGTTAATATTAAATAAATAATTTATGAATTCTTGGCCTTAAAGCTATTTTTAAAAAAAGTAAAAACTTTGAAGTAATTTATATCAGTAAAAATAATCTCAAAAGACCTTGATATAATAATAAATATTATAATAGTGCCTGGATCCGTTTCTGAAAAAATAACTTTCTGCTATGAAAAAAGTTATTTTGTAATTATTAATGATAAATTCATTTATTTTTAAGATAGATAAAGAATTAAAAATTGATATAGACAATAAAAAGACATTAATACTATATAAATCTTACTTTTTCAATGTAGTTCTTCTTTTTGATCTTATTTATAAATTTTTTCTTAGTTTCTCTTGTCTAATAAATTTGCATTTTCTGTAATTATAGTAGTATTTACAAAATTTGTTTTTTATAAAGTTTTGTTTAAAGAATATAATAAACTTCTTGCACTTGTAAGTAACTTTTCTAATTTAATAGCTTTAAATTATTTAGTTGCTATCTTATGTCTAATTTCTTTTTGTTTTTAATAATCAGTAAAGCTTAAATCTTACGTTATTCTTCTTACTTGTCTATTAATATCTATTTGCTATAGCTCAAGTTGTATAATCTCTTTATATAAAGATATTAAAATTTTTAGTCAAGTTTTTAACCTATAATGTATATTTTTTGGCTAATGCTTTTATTTTTGAAGTTGATTTCTTTATATTTGATGTGAATTTAATAATTTTAATCTTATTTTTCTTATCTTTTATTCTTATATCAAAATTTAATTTGATAAATACTTTGCTAGGCTTTGCCTTCTTTAGTAAATATATTATTTATTTATTAATAAAAATTATCTTTCAAGTAAATAGAAAACCATAAAAATTTATAAATAATTAAATAATTATATTAATAATAGTAGCTTTATTCTTTTTTACTTGATTAGGATTAATAATTCAATTTATATCATCAATTGATATATATATTATTTATAAAATATATCATACACTTTAGTAATTATAAGATACAATATGTAAATATTTTTTAATATATCAATAATTTGCAAATAAAGGATGAAAAACTAGTAATAGTTGCAATATAATTTGTTAAAGTTACTAGTAATATATATATTAGAAGAACTCTAAAACTTATAATTAATGTTTCTGATAAAATTTATGAATTTATAATAAAATTACTTCAAATTCTATTAGATAACTAGTCTAAAAAAAATTATAATAATTCAATTTAATTTATCTATTTATAATAAGATCTTTAAAATATTTTATGCCTTTTTTACTCATAAACTTATTAGAAATATTAATTATAAGTTTCTAAAATTCTATATTAGAATGTATTGTTTTAGAAGATAATTGTCAATTATGTATTTTTGAATAAAAAATTAAAGAGAGTTAATAATTTTTGCTAATACAATCTTTCCTTTGTCAGTAAAATTCATTTTTTTAAAAGTTATCTTTTAAATACTATCTGATATGATAATGTATTTGATTTTTACTAATTCATTAGTATATGAATAATCAATATAAGAATCAGATGATTTTTGCAGATGACACTTAAATTGACCAATTTTTAGCTAATTTAAAAGAATACTATATTTCTACTAATAAAACTGAGTCTTTATAATTTAAAAGTGTGATTATATAACATTCTTTTTCTATACTTAAAAGGTTTCTATGTATAAAGAAAATTACAATTCTGATCATATAAAGATGAGTGCTCTTTTTATTCATTGGTAATAATTCATTTGGAAGTATTAAAGAAACTAATACTTATTTCTTCTAAGTAATAATAATAAGTAGAAGTAATTTCTTTAGGATAACAATCTTTCCATCAGAAATATGAAAATAAAATCTATAAAAAGTATTATTTCTGAGATATCATATAATTTGCTATGTTAAGGTAGGTTAGTTTTCTGTAATAAGATAAGATATAACTAGGTTTTAGAAATGCAACCATCTTATTACTTATTTAAAATTTTTTTTTAACAAAAGGTTTGTTAGAAGCTGAATCAAATGTTTCATTAACGCTTAACATGTATTCATCATTAAAAGCTTCTAAAAAGATAAGTTTAGGTTATTCTCTTTATAAAAATCTGAAGCTGACATGTTTTTTAAGCATTTTATATGCTATCAAAGATACATAGCAAAAGTTAAGTACTTAATACAATAAAATTTGTTAAAAGTTATTTGCATATTAATATATAAGGGGGTATAAAAAGTATTGGCCACCTAACGTGATATAAGTGAAGTGTATGTTATCACACCTCTTCTAAATTAAGCCGCAGTTTTTTATTTTAAGTTACATGTGATTGTTATATAAATGATCAAAATAAAAAAATCACTATTGTATAACATAAAGTTGGTCATATAGTCATATGAAAAAATCTTTTTTTATTAGTGAAAAAAAATTTACCGCAAGGATGTATTGTGGAAAGGAACTTAATGAGGGCTAAAAAGAAGCTATTATCACAGCTAAAAAATTAGGACATACAAATACTAGGATTTCTGCAGTTGTAAATTGCTCTCATTTTTCTGTTCGACATGTTTGGAAGTTGTATGAGCTAAAAAGTCTTCCAAAGAAACATTTGGGTTAATCACAAATTCTTAACGAAACTGAACGCAAACATCTCAAAAGTTTAGTGATTAGAAATAAAAAAACCCGTTGTCAAACCCTTTCTCAAATACGTTTAAATTTTATAAACGAAACAAACAAACCCATTTCTATACAAACCATTCAAAATGAATTAGCCAAAAAAAATCTCCATTCTCAAATTCTTCATTTCAGTTCTTTAATTTCTGAAAATAATAAAGAAAAACGTTATTTTTAGGCCTGTACTTACGAAAATTGGACAGTAGAAGATTTCAAATGAGTTATCTGATCAGACGAGAGTACCTACATATAATTTAAAACTTCAGGTTTTGAACAAATGTGACGCAAACCTTCTGAAAAGTTTCATGAAGACTGCATTGCAGCCACGGTCTAAAAGAGCTTTGGTCACATATCCTGAGGTATTTCTTCTGGGTTAGTTTGGGTCCTTTGGTTCTCTTAGAAGATCGCATTACTGGAATTACGCACCGTGACATTTTGGCTAATTATGCCATTCCTACAGTCAAGTTTCATGCAAAAAAGGTCAAAAAAGGTTTTTTTTCAAGAAGACAACGCGCCTGTGCATACTGCAAGATTCGCATGTTTGTTCCTCACTTCCTCAAATGTTGAGGTGCTTCCTTGGCTGACCCAAAGCCCCGATATTAACCCAATAGAAAATATATAGTCATATATTGAGATCAAGATCCATCAACGAGATTTTCAGCCATCAAGTGTTAGGCAGTTGGAATAGTGGGTTAATGAGGAGTGGGATGCGGTACCTGTAAAATATTACCATAATTTGATCAAGTCAATGCCACGTCGAGTTCAAGCTGTTCTTGCGGCTAATGGAGGACCAATGAAATATTAACCTGTATTTGATAAAAATAAAAAAAAATAAAGAATTATTAAGTTAGTTATTTTGTAAAACGTTTTACAAAAGTGGCCAATACTTTTTATACCCCCCTGTACCTATATAACTGTCTCCCTATTATTTTGTTTTTTCTTACCTAGTGTAATAATAGGGTGAGGTTCTATAGAAGTGTAAATAATACAATTGGTGTAATTGTCCTCTAGCAGTATGAAAAGTAAATGCCAATCAAATAAATTCTAATTAATTAAAACTACGTATTTACGAACAATTACAAAAAATTGAATATTAAAATAATAATAAAATCGGAAATTAAAAATTAGAAGTTACAAATACGAAATCTAAAAGTTAAAACGGCGAAAACGAAAATATTGTGAAGGGTTAAAGGAAGGATTTCAAGGTATATGGGAGGAATGCTATTAAAATCAAGTTACGAACATAGTAAATCATATGATCTGTACCGTGATTTTAATAGCTTACCTCCTCTATATATGCAAAATATAATAAGGGCGAGCGTGAAAAATGATTGTCACACTGGCACCTTAACAGCCGGCCTGGCAAATGATCATCAAAGGACTATACAAATTCTGATTTATTTTTTTATAATAAATCTTTTTTTTTTTTTTTAAAAATCTTTAGCGATTATTTTTAACAATTAAGAGTAGTTTCTTAAATTTTGACTTTTTTTTAATATTATTTTATTGTTACAAACAATAAGAGAAAAAGTCAAAAAAAAGTCAATTTGAAAATGCTTGGTATAAGGCGCGATATTACTAAAGGGGATATTCTTAAAAAACGATAATATTATTATAATTATTTAAAGATTAATGTATTTATGCAAATTCTTAAAAAATAAAGTGCGACTTTTGCACCGCCTGTTTCTTATATTCGGAAACTCCAATTAAATTTGACATTTCAGAAAACGCGTAATGTTTCTGAGCAATAGAAGGTAAATCCGATTTAAAGATTGGTTATAATCCAAACATTTGTAAAATTGCTAAAGGCTAGACTTTAATTAACTTTTGATTTTATTAAACGAGCTTTATTGTGTTATTTTTATATTATATCATACAAAACTTAAAAATATTAAACACAATATTTCAATATTTAAAATTTTATGATTCGGTCTTATTTGAAACCGAATTACTATATAAAATCCTATTAATTTATTCAAAATAATAATAAAAAATCAATATTTGAACTTTAATTTTCTTATTAATCTTTTATACGTTCAAGAAATACGTATGGTTATTTGCTTGAACAATATTCTCTAAAAGATTCATTTGTCAAACTTATAAAATTTGAATAATTATTATTATCTTTTCACAATGAAAATTTCCAATTCTTTTATTCTAATACCTTGACATGTACTATATTGTATTAACCTTGCACTTCCCAACCTTGGTTTTAATTATTCACAATTAGTCATCAGAATTTACAATATATAAAATCGGAACAATGATATTGTCGTGTGATCCAATCCTGACTACAATTCTCTCACCACTAAAAAAAAAATTATTTAAGATTTGATACTGAACCAATGCAAATTTTGTTTCTCATTCCCTCTTCTTTTGCAGCGCGGAGCTTTCAGGATTAAAGTAACATACGATTAATGATAAAATACTTCCAACTACATGTCCAATATAAGAACTTAAAACACAAGAAATAGGCCACACCTAGAAATTAAAAATATTTACACAAGATATTCACAAAGATCCTAAATGAAAATGATTCTATAATGATTACCTGCCACGGCCTATCCCAATCTAATGGTATAACTATAGCGCCAGCCCAAGCACCTATGATTGTCCCTACAGTTGAATAATAAACCATTTTCTCTGGAATTGTTTCGGGACTTTTAATAATAATAATGATGATAATTTAATTTTAAAATACATTTTAAAATCTCTTAAAAAAAAAATTTATAAATTTACAACTTACTTGAAATCAGAAAATACTCTTGACCAATATGGACCATGGGTATTAAATGCAACCGCGGGTGGAAATATTCCTAACAATGAGACATATATTGCAAACATCAAAGTATTTTGTACATTACTTAAGAAAAAAAAAATAAAATAAAATAAATAAATAAATAACTGATTTTAGAACTTTTCTTAGATAGTGAAAAATGAACTTTAAAGATTACACGTACTGAAATAAAGATGCACCAAATAAAACAGATACGAGATGTAATACAAAAGCGGCGAATGCTGTTAAGTATAATGCTACAAAAAAATTCTTTAATTTTTTTTTTTTAATAGAATAAACACAAATTAATTTCTAAATTAAGAAATATCATTTTTTTTTTTTTTTTTTTTGCTGCTATTTTTGATTTACATACCTTTCCTTTTTTCTTTATAAAATCATTAAACAAATTTTTAAATTTTTTCTTGGTTTCATAACCAACATTACTAGCATCACTATCCAAATAAACAAACCAACGAATAATTTCAATTGTAAATTGAATAAAAAATAATGATATATTAGTCGTTTTTAAACTTTCTACGGAATTTTCGAATAGTTTGTGTTGAGGAAAATGAAATAAACAAAGTGTTGATAACATTAATTGTGTGAAGGTAATTACACCATGCGTTTTTAATTGAAATTTTATTGAATTGTCCGCATAATTTATCGAATTTGGAATTTCTAACGATGACGATGATGATGCATTACGAACTCTTGAAGTCATTTTCGAAATTGTTGAAAGGAAAAAAAAAGGTGGCTCTTGTTGACAAATGCAAAGTACATGAAGTAGCACAGTATGCATGAGCACGTGACTATAGGTGGCTTAGTAGTTATACAATATTAATGTCTAATCCAAAATTCACAGCCATAATCTTGAAACATCTGACGGATCTGGAACAGAAAAGGATCGGGGCTTGTGAATTTTTTCGTTTAATTTATCAGACGCGACTGCGCCATCTACGACCAAACCGTCCGACTATTTAATTAGAATTCACATTAATTTAATTAATTTACCAGAATATACAGTTTCTCTCGACTATCAAAAAAAATTTTTTTTACCTTTACCACAAAAATTTATAATATAATTAATGACCTCACTTTTACTAACAGTTGTAAAAGACCATATTACTTCTGAAAAAAAATCCTAATATACTTGTCTAACGGCTTGACTTTCTAAAGTTGGCTTAGATAATTCTGTAAAACCACCTGGTACCTGTAAATACGACATAATAAAATTAGTTATCACGTATAAATGCGCCTCGTCTTGACTTTTCGATATTCGTCGTTTCATTCTCATCTTCTTCGAAGATTGCCCGATACCTCTCAGGAAGCGGCAGAAATTAAGTCACTCTTATATTACATTTTATGTTGATTCAGTTGAATGAGAGTTCCATGCGTAAAAATTTTGGGTAGAACCATGCCATGCTAAAGGTTTTCAGGGCTGAGAAAAGACCTCTCTTTAATAAAATAAAAATCAAGAAGTTGTATAATCTGAAAAATGAGAATTATCTACGGAGAACAATTAAATGTACTCACAGGATTAGCCAGATTACAATGAAGGAACCTTCGTTCATCGTAACACCCGGTTACTAAACATTGTGTACGTTCCTGATGTTCCCGACAACTTTCGAGCACGGATACCATAACAGACAAAATCCTGGCGAACTATTGAATGGGATGGGATGAAATTACATTCATTATGTGAGTGATTTTATGAACCAATTGAAATTAAAGAACTTGATGTATAGATACGTACGTCTTCAACATCAATTATTAAATCCGTTACATCATAGTTAATTTTTCTCTTTATTTCCGATGCATATATCGTAAATTATTCGATGATTGATTTAAATTTTGTAAGTTTTAAATAAACCACCTTTAATTCTAATAATACGATTATTTTCTTTTCTATAAGATCTATAAATTATTGGATTTTTTTGATTATTAATAAACTTGTCTGTTATATTTCTAGAATATTTAATATCTTTGTTCTTGATTCGTAAATTTAATTTATCGGTCATTTACTATATTTGATGATTTTTGCTAGTACAATTAGTTACTAATCATTTATTTTGTTATTATGTCAAATTGACAATTACTACTAGATAATATAGTTTAATAACTAATTATTAATTTAGTTATTGAAAGTGCAATTTTTATGATTTCTTAACAACGTCACTTTCTTAATAGTATGATCTTCATCAGGTACATGTGACGCAGACAATTGTGTTTTGAGGAACTCTACCTTTCGCAAGTGCTGATAGTTGTTCAAGGGAGGGTAATTGATTACCTTTGGATGAAATATTTGTGTCATTTATATTATCAAAAGAAAAAGAAATTTTTTGGGAAAAACAAGACGCGTAAAAGAAAAAAAGAAATATCATTTGTTCTTATGAAAAATGGTTTAATAAAGCTAAAAAATAGTCTAATAAAAGTTTTTAAATTAAATTATTTTGTGTAAACCGATAAAACAGTTACTCGGCACTACGTGACCTCGTAACTGCGGCACTGCCGTGCCTTACGTGTATTTGCAATAAGAATATGATCAAGCAATCATATTGCTTATTGCAAATACAACAGGCACTTTGTGCCGAGTAACTATTACATATTTCGGAATAAATAATCAAATTATTGAAAAATATAAATTATTGTAATTTTTTAACTTACTAAATATATTTTTATTTTTTGGAATGTCGGTGAAATGATCGTCGGTGAAACGTTTGTCGTGAAATAATGGTCGGTAAATTAAAATTAAAGTTTATAGTGCGAAACGCGCGAATCAACTGTGCAAATGTAGAATTTGACCATATCTTTCATGCTTCCTATGGCATACTAACAGTGCTATTAAATCATTTTTGAATCTTATACCTCCTCGTAACTTGATTTTAATAACAAACAACAAAATACCAATAATATACATTCATAAAAATGTTACGACCCTTGAGATAGTTCAATTTTATGTTGTCCCGCAGTTTGGCTAATATAATTTGGCCGTTGATTAAAGATATGTATATATACCTGTCTTATATTTATATTTTGATGTAATAAAATAAATAAATAAATTTTAATAAACTCAAATAAAAAATTTAAAGTTATGCGTCCTTGGAATTGAATGCCAATAATAATTAATAGAATATAAATCTAAGTTCACCGACCTTTTCGGTTCATCAAAAATCGCCAATAATATATCTGGTAGAAGTATGATTTTCTATAAAATTTTTTATTAAAACATAATTTTGATTGGATTAACTAAATTAACAGGTTGAAAATGGTTAAATAACACCCATCCTATCAATCATACATACACATCTCATTCAAATAAAATGATTATTTATTACTTTAATTGATTCTAATTTAAATTTAATTTTTGAATTTAAATAAGAATTAAACGCGTGCTGCAGGCATACGACACGGATGCATAACTTCACCTCCAGAATGACCATTTAAAACCCTATATTGTATAAAAAATTTATCTAAATGAGTTTGCTTATAGATTGTTAGTTTAATATTTAATATCTTCTATTATAAATTACAAGGCTATTATTCTATTCCTTTAGAACCCCGAATAATACATGAAAAGATAACATTACAGAGAGTTTGCGTATAATGAGTCAAAATTTATGTGGATCATTTCCTTTTTTGGATATTCCACACCAGCATTACATAGTGCCGGCCCTGAAGAGATGCGTAGAGCTATTAGTAAATGTGTGCCGATTTCTTGTTACCTATTTGTATATTGCTCGAGGTCATATTTCTTTCATTTACCTCATATAGTTTATTATAGTACTTAAAAAATTATAGACCCATTACTATTATTCCCATCCCATTCCAAATATCGGAGATAATGCAATGTAAAGGCGAGTGTAAACAACCCTTATGAGAAATTAAGGAATAAGTTTATTACGAAGCTATCGATATAATAATTATAATAACTTTCTTTTTTAGGATTCAAGAATTAGCAAGTCCTATTTATAACATTTTCATAAATACCAAAGCTTAGATAAATTATTATTTTTAACTTATCGAAAATTTATTAGCTAATTATTATTATACTGGAAAAAGGTTGTATTATGCAATATGAAAATTTAAGAATTCCAATAATTTTAAATTCATTTATTTAATAAATCTTTTGAAATATACAAAAGAATAAATATATCAAATCTTACAACTCACTATTATCGCGAATAAATTGATAGCAATACTCATAAAGTTGACTGGCACTTGAAATTTCCGCAAATGTTTTCATTTCTCCTACGTTTGACATGTGAACTATTCGCGAGAGCCTCAATTCCATAAGCTCTTTCAAATAGTCTAACTTGTAATCACTTGATATCTCAAGTAGGTCTTTATACAATGACAATTTTGAATCTTGATAATTATCATTCAATTTTTGAATTGCGTCATCAATATTCTGGACCATATCAGATATAAATATCGTAACAAGATGCGCATCGAATTAGGTTGAATGTAATGTCCTTAAAAGTGAAATTAGTCGGACTAGATTCTGCCGGCGCAAATTTTTGATAAAAAAGGTCAGCGCCTGCAGCGAGCATAAATCGACCTGCTTTTATATTTTCACCATTCACAACAAAAGTTACGTCGTTTAAGGAAGATGTCTGATCAAATAGAAATGTAAACAAAGTAATTTCATTATTATGTGATTAGTCGTGTTGCCTAACTTTAATTTTAACATTTAGTCGTTTTATTTCCCGAGCACCGGCACTTTTGAGCATGGTAGAATATTTAGCAAGATCTGGATAAACATTCTTCGCATCGCCAAATTCGCTATTCAATACCAAATCATCCGCAGAAACCCAATTTTCAAGGTTAAATGGATGTTTATTTCTACGGAAATTTAGGAATAATGGTTCGAAACAAATATGTTCTGATAAGTCACGATCTACATTTGAACTACATTCTTCATTCAGCCATTTATAAACCTCATAGATGTTGTTTTTAAATGCATCAGTCCAATCCTTCTTCCATACTTCATCGTACCGAAGTATTGAATACAAAAAACGGAGATGTCTTACTACAGTAGAAACATCCGGTTTACCAAATGACGGATATTTTTCGAGTACTTGTTGAGATGGTATTACATCTTCCGCGATCAATGGCATTTGACTCCACGCGACTTCTCTATATGCGGGAAGAATAATGTTATTCAAGCAATCTAAAGATTGAGTGTTTATAGTGTAAGTTGTAAGATTGCCCCAAACTTTTGGTAATCGGGACGAATGAAATTCCTTCAATGCTTTCCAAATTTAAATCGTTTAAAATTTTTATATAGATGATCAACCAGGATGAAGCCTCGATAACGTATGTCAGATGGGGGTTCTGGGTCCATTTGCCTTTAACGGCAAACTTTTTAAATATCTCTTGATCGATGCTATTTTTAATCCAATTTTCGATAAATTCTCTGTATATTTGGAAAAGTCGGGATGAAGAAAGGCACTAGAAACTCCTCCAAACACGGCTCAAAACACCAGTTTGTTATAATCATATAGGTCGGTGATTTTCTTTAATTTTTTTGTAACCTTGAATAATTTGAATATCTTTAAGTATGTCTTTTAGGAAATCGAGATAACAGCTATCATATTTCTTAGGAAATTCGACATCCTCAAAGGTATACACGTAGATATCTCGCGTGGGAACATTAAGATCGGTTAAAATTTGACGACTATTATTGTTACTTGCATCCAAAAAAATTGAACGAGTCTTTATTCGATGTTGGTGAAAGGAATTTGTCAAAATATATCCGCATGAAGCTGGTTTTAAAAGTTTCTTTGGATCTTCATCTAACGGATTATAGCTATCAGAAATGGAGCGTTCCGGATGAGAAATCGTCGACCAAATAGGAAGAGAACGGAGCAGTGACTTGAAACTTGGATCTAATCGGAACCCTACATTAAATAGAGAGAAATTCAAACAATATAATTTATTATTTAGGCGTGCAGTAGAAAAGAGGAAACTACAAAAAAAAAAAAATTTTATATGCTAAATATGATCATTTTTTTAGTAAATAAGTACAGATTTAACATTAAATCAAAAAAGAATATAGTTTCTTCACTTTCTACTGCAAAGCGTTATCAAAATAAGATAGTTACTCAATTCATTCCAGATATTTCGTAGTAAATTACGAATATTTATAATCTGCTGATATGATAAAAGTTCGAAGAGAATCTTCACGCGATCACACAAATTGTTACCATTAATCAATATTTCATCGTTTTGTAATAAATGTTCGAGTACTTTGAAACCGTATTCAATTGCGTACTTTGAATAATTCCTATTAATGGACGGAAATGGCTAGAACTTTGAGATGGGATGGATTCTTTCTCTAGGTTCTCACAATTCAACAACTTTTGTTATAAGATTAAAAAGATTAGGAAGAAAATCAAGCAGAATATGCCTGTTCCAATTGAGCTTCTGACGATCTATATCCGACGAATAATCTCTTTCCATTAATAACTTTCTACGATCTGAACCTTGAGCCCAGGTTCCATTAAGATGAAACGGCAAAAGAAAGAGTATAATCTACCTATAAAGTCGCTCCGGTATTCGTTGAAAGAACGATTACCATAACTGCTATGTAATTCAGCAACATTTTCGAATACAAAGTCGCGCCGGTTATTATCATCTTTCGAAATTTTATATAATGCAGCAATTCCTCCTAATACGCGTAATCGATATCGTTTTACATATTTTTTCAACTGATGATCTTCAGGATTTGAATGAGCACCGGTGACAATAATCCAATAGTCCTTTGCATATTGTTTGAACCTTCAAAATGTTTGATCTCCATTTGAAAAGTTTGAATTTCATTGTTTATGACGAATTTTCTTTGGTTTCTCACATTTTCAGTCAATCCCGATATATTCTCTTTATAAAGTGAATTTTTTGTAGTGGAGTTGATGCCGCAAGTATATATGAAATTTCAATCGTTTCGATGCTTCGAAGAAATAAAAATTGGAAAGAGATAGTTGGTTTAATACTCGTGAACAATTCGAGAGTTTGATCTGTGGCAAAAATACTGTCGGATATATCACTTGGTTGTTTCTGAAGTGGTATTCGAAATAGTGTTCCTCGAAAAGTCGAACGGAAATCGATGCCTTCGATGCCTTCATAAGGAACCAATTGGTCCTTTTCAGAATGTCCGCCAAGAACATTTTTAGGAATAGGTCCAATAATTCCTCGTTGTGTTTACCATGTCTTCTTGTCAAGAACTTCTCATGAGGATCCAAGAACGCAATAGAATCGCTTATAAAACTCGGAACATCGGTAAAGTGGTAACACGGGTTTAAACCTAACTCATGTTTCCCAATCATTGTATCATCGCCTTGTTTCCCACCAACACGTATCTGCATAAGCGAATCAAAATCGTTCGTCTTGAAAATTGCATTATTGTATATCATAATGGCGGGGCCTTGCCAGGCCATCATTTTGTTGCAAATCAGAGAATTGGTGGGATGCGAACGTCCGTCGATGATAACATGAAACCGAGAAGCTCCAGCGTCATCGTTTAAGAATGAAAAATGCGTATTATATTCAAGAAATTCGACGCATTTTGCTTACCATTTTGAAGGAATTCTTTAAGTATACTTCGACAGAGATAATCCTTGTAGAATATTAAACGCATATAATTCTAATAAAAGTATTGAAATAAATAAATTCATTCGTTTACAATACAATTTCAAATATACCTTTATAAGCTCAAAAATATTTTGACAGTTTTCAATTTTCTGCAATTGGTAGCTTTTCAAATTACCACATGCAACCCTATCGCATTAAGTTTTCCATTCCATGCTATAAAAAAATTTGTTTTTTTTTTGGGAGTGGATAAATATCATAAAGCAGAAATCACGTTAGATTATACAAGTAAAAGCCATTTAATACTCGAAATTGAAAAACGTCAACGCCGTAATTGTAATGCTTTTTTCAATATAAAATTATTGTAACTTTCTGGTGACTCATGTAGCAATAAATTATTGCTCCAAGAAGTTTGGCAACTTATACAGTTACATACTTACACCAGCTGTAAACTTATCTTCATCTTTTAGTCAAAAAAAAGTTACATTAATTTATTTTAATTCTGAATAATTAATGACCTCCGAACTTCGGATTAAATTTTTGAAATAATCTCCTTAAAACCTTCGACACGTTCTATTTCATAATTGAAATTTTAATTTTCTGCAGTCACGAGACATTTACCGGTTTGACCGACTTACATAGCGTCGCCTGAAAAAAGGTAGCCGGATTTTATTTGTCGGGTATTTATTATTAGCGTCACTAAGTATTCTGGGGACTTGTAAATTTTTAAGTATATGTGACCCGGCAAATAAAATCCGGTTACCATTTTTTCAGGAGACGCTAGGACGCTTTAATTTCAGCTGATGATTTAATAACATGTAAAACAATACTTTTTTCTTTCTATTCATTAATAAAACAAATAAATCGTTATAAGTAAATAAAAAAGGTATAGCTCATGTCATGCTTCCTTGGAATTGAATACCAATTTAACAAATCTAAGAGGTACCAGTATTTATATTCAACGTCTTTGCAAGAATCAATAGTCTTTTATTTTCGAGTTATAACTAATACAATGTATACCTAATATAATATAATGGGAATATATAAGTTTTATCTAATGAATCAACCAATTTTTTTTGCGTTAGACATTAAAGAATATATTAGAATTATCAAAATTAGTGTATAACGTCTTGAATATTATCCAAACCAACCAAAGATTTAGACGTGTTCCCAATATACTATATACTACTATCTGCAAAGACTGCAATACTGATTTATAAAATGCATAAAAATTTTATAGTGCCGACCTGGGCTAAATTTAAGTTCAAATAAAATATGAAGACGTTGTTTTGTATAATACTGTATTTTGAGGCATTCCCACACTAAGACCAAATGCATTTTCTCTGACGATTCTGCTACATAATGTGTTCGATTCATATGAACAAAATATCTCATTTTAGAAGTTAATATTTATAAATGACTGTACCGTCGATGAAATTATGACAAAAACACGAGATATACGCTCTCTCTTTTACCAATTATTGAAATAGCATTATATAAATGATATCTAATAATTTTGCTTGGACAGGAATTATTATAAGGATACACGATGGTTATCGCGCTATCTAGGCAGATGCATATGTTTCTGAGGTTGTTTACATTATTACCAATTCAATAAATCTTTATTTGGGAGGAAAAGAGTGTAAAGGATTAATAACTTGTTATTGAACTTTTATATGTGATCAAAGGAAGGAAATTACATAGATCTAGTACACGATACCAATAATACGCGAAAAAATTCAGCGTGGCGTGGTAATAGGATAGGATTATTAATTGGTAATATTTGGGAAACTAAAGTTTCTGTAAAGTAATACTACAATAAAAAGAAACTTAAAAAAAATATATGAAGAAAACTTGAAGATTTAGCATTTACATATTTGCTCCCAAATGCTTATAAAAGATATCAATTTAGGCCAATATATTATTAATAATGCAAAACCTAAAAAAGCAGTAATGACAAAATTTATAGCAATTTCATTTAAATAAATTTTTGTGTGACAAAATAACAAAATATGACGATTTGACTACAAATTAACAAATTTATTTTTTCTTTTTTTTTTAGAAACGTATCTAAATTTATATATCATCAATTCCTAACGCCACTATTATCACGAGTAAAATGATAACAATATTCATTGAGCTGGCTGGCATTTGAAATTTCTGCAAATCTTTTCATTTCGTCTACGTTCGACATGAGAACTAATCGTGAGAGCCTCAATTCCATAAGTTCTTTCAAATGATCTAAATTGTAATCATCTGCTAACTTAAGCAAGTTCTTATATAGTATCAAATCTTGAGATTCATCGATATTTGGTTCATCTCGAAGATCCACATTAATATTTAAACTTTGTCGGTTTTGAATTGCGTTATCAATATTTTGGCCATACAAATAGCGTAACAAAATGCGCATCGAATTAGGTTCAATGTTCTCAATAGTGATCGTGACAGGATTAGGCTGTCTTAATTCTTCTGAAGTGAATTTTTGGTTGAAAAATTCAGAGCTTGCAGCGAGCATATATCGACTTGCTTTTATACTTTCACCATTCACAACAAAAGTTACGTCATGCAATGAGGATGTCTGATCAAACAAAAATTTAAACAACGTACTGTTGTTATGATGTGATTGGTCGTGTTCTCTGACATTAATTCGAACATTTGGACGCCTTATTTCCCGAGCACCGGCACTTTTGAGCATGTTAGGATATCTAGCAAGTTCGGGATGGACATATTTCACCTCATTAACTTCACTGTTTAAGACTAAATCGCCTGAAGTAACCCAGTTTTCAATGTTAAATGGATCTTGGTTTCTATTGAAATTAAGGAATAATGGTTCGAAACAAATGTGTTCCGATAAGTTGAGATCTTCATTTGAAGAACATTCTTTATCTAACCATTTATAAACATCGTAAATGTTGTTTCTAAATACATCAGCCCAATCCTTCTTCCATACTTCATCGCTCCGAAGTATTGAATACAAGAAACGGAGATGTCTGACTACAGTAGAAACGTCCGGTTTACCAAATGATGGATATCTTTGAAGTACTTGTTGAGGTGGTATTACATCTTCCGCAATCAATGGCATTTGACTCCAAGCGACTTCTCTATATTCAGGAAGGATAATGTTATTCAAACAATCTAAAGATTGAGTGCGATTATAGTATAAGTTGTAAGGTTTGCCCAAACTTTTGGTAATCGGAAAGAATGGAATTCCTTCAATGCTTTCCAAATTTAAAGTGTTGATATTTTTATATAGATGATCAACCAGGATAAAACCCCGATAACGTATATCAGATGGGGGTTCTGGCATTTGTAATAATTCCTTGACTTTAACGGCACACCTCCTGAATATCTCTATATCTATCATATGTTTAAATCCAATTGTCGAAAGAATCCTTTTAAACTCGGAAAATCCTGGATGAAGAAAGACACTAGAATCAACGCCAAACACGGTCCGAAAAACCAGGTTGTTATAATCGTATAGGTCGGCGATTTTTTTTAATCTCTTTGTATTTGCATTAGGAAAACAGCATTTATCATTTAAATTTCGAACAATTCGATTATTTTTAAGTATGTCCTTTAGGAATTCGAGGTAACGGTTATCATATTCTCTAGGAAATTCGACATCCTCGAAAGTGTACTCATAAATGGTTCGCATAGGAACATTAAGTTGAGTTAAAATGAAACGATCATTATCGTCCGTAGCATCTAAATAGATTTTGGAAGTATTTATTTGATATTGTTTGATGTTGTTTTCTAAAATAAATCCGCATGTCGCTGGTTTTAAAGGTACTGGTTCTGAATTTCCATTTAATGGATTCAAAAGAACTTTCCAAATAGGAAAAAAGCGGACCAATGACTTGAAATTAGGATTTGCCACTGTACATAAAACAGAATAAGCCACTTCACGTAATAATTTAAATTATAATGTTATATAAAATTCAAAGAGATAAATACCTATTCCATACCAGGCAATTTGTAGAAAGTAACGGAGCCCTTCAATTTGTACATCCAATAAGAGCTCGAATAGAGAATTTACGCGGTTCTCAATGCTGCCATCAAAAACGTCTTCATTTTGTATCATATATTCGAGTACTTTGAAACCGAATTCAACTACGTACTTTGAATTAACTCGGTTGTGTGGAAACGGCCAGAACTTGGAGACAGGATGAATATTTTCTCTAAGATCCATACTCTCGATGCCCAAACTACGCTCCCTTTCTTGTATTTCTACGGCTTTCGTTATAAGCTTACAATATAGTTTCGGAAGGAATTCAAGCATGATATGTCTATTCCAATTGAGTTTCTGATGATCTATATCCGGCGAATTATCTCTTTCTAATAATAACCTTCCACGATCTGAGCCTTGAGCCCAGGTTCCATTAAGATGAAACTGCAGATATGTGGTATCGGGTAACGAAAGAAAAGAATATAATCTACCTATAAAGTCGATCCGGAATGCTTTATAAATTTCTCCATAATCGATTCGGTTATTATCATCTTTCGAACTTTTATATAATGCAGCAATACCTCCTAATACGCGTAATCGATATCGTTCTGCATATTGTTTCAACTGAGGATCTTCAGGATTTGGTTGGGCACCGGTAACAATAATCCAACAGTCCTTTTGCACATTGTTTGAATCTTCTTCAAATTGTTCGATCTCCATTTGGAAAGTTTGAATTTCATTGTTTATGACGCATTTTCTTTTGTTTCTCACATTTTCAGTCAATCCCGTTATAGTCGCTTTATAAAGTGAATTTATTTGTAGTGGAGTTGATGTCGAAAGTATATATGAAATTTCAATCGTTTCGATATGTCGAAGAAATAAAAATTGGGAAGAGATAGTTGATTTAAGACTCGTGAACAATTCGAGAATTTGATCTGTAGCGAAAATACTGTCGGATATATCACTTGGTTGTTTCCGAAGTGGTATTCGAAATAGTGTTCCTCGAAAAGTCGAACGGAAATCAATGCCTTCGATGCCTTCATAAGGAACCAATTGGTCCTTTTCAGAATGTCCACCAATACCATTTTTAGGAATAGGTCCAATAATTCCTCGTTGGGTACTACCATGTCTTCTTGGCAAGAACTTCTCATGAGGATCCAAAAACGCAATAGAATCGCCGCTTATAAAACTCGGAACATCGGTAAAGTGGTAACACGAGTTAAAACCTAACCCATGTTTCCCAATCATTGTATCATCGCCTTGTTTCCCACCAACACGTATCTGCATAAGCGAATCAAAATCGTTTGTCTTGAAAATAGCATTATTGTATATCAAGATGGCGGGGCCTTGCCAGGCCTTCATTTCGTTACAAAGCAGAGAGTTGGTGGGATGCGAACGTCCGTCGATGATAACATGAAACCGAGAAGCTCCAGCGTCATCGGCTTTTTTTTTTTTTTATTTTTTATTTTTATTTTAGGAATAACGATAAACATTGTGTATGGTATGATATTCAAGAAACTAGACGTCTTTCACTTACCATTTTGAAGGAATTCTTTAAGTATACTTTGGCAGGGATAATCCTAGTAGAAATATTAAAAATATATAATATTAAGATCATTCGTTTATAATACAATTTCAAAATATCGAGGGCACACCTTAATAATATTACGGATGGAAGAAATGAGAGTCTCATTTTGACCGTAAGTTTGGGATATTGAGCTCAAAGACATTATTACCGTCCTATAGAAGGGAACATTTTTTTAAAATCTTTTTATAATCAAAGGTCCTGATTTTTTTGGCGTAAAAACGTATGTTTCGCGTAATTATTTTCGTCATTTTATGAAATATTTGTGGTGACGTAATTCACTCGAACCAATTAGAAATGAAACAAAACAATTTATTTTGGGCAATAAATACACACTACTTATTTAATGGAACAAATCTACCATCAACCATTTCCATTCTTTTTTGGCATAATGTTATTTAAAGTTTACTAGACATAGCACCACTAGGAATGATAATAACTTTACCATAAGTCTTCCTACTTGCAATAGCTTTTAAACCATCTTTAACACTATCCAACCCAAAAAAAATTTTTTCATAAACGACAGATTTCAATTTTCCACTAGCCAACAAATTTAATAAATCATTCCATACTTCTTCAATACGTTCTGGCTCGTTTTTCGTATATGCACCCCAATGTAACCCGATGACTGAAATATTCTTAAGTAATACGAGGTTTAATGGTAACTTTTCAATATTACCACCTGTAAACCCAATCACGATGAGTCTTCCATTCCACGCTATACAAAAATTAATTTTTTTTTTTTTATGGTGAATATCGTTTGTAGAATATTATTAATATAATTAAAAAGGAATCACGTTAGATCATACAAGTAAAAAACCATGAAATACACGGAAATTGAAAAAGAAATGAAAAGATGAATTACCAATGCATTTAATAGAAGATTGAATTAATCCTACAGGATCATAAACAACGTCAACGCCTTTTCCGCCCGTAATTTTTAATACTTGTTTTTGCCAATCTTTCTCGTTATAATTGATTGTGTAATCTGCCCCAAATTTCTTTGCAATGGCCAACTTTTCTGATGATCCTCCTGTAGCAATAACTTTTGCTCCAAGAAGGTTGGCAACCTGCACAGCTACAATACCGACACCACCAGCTGCACCATGAACAAGGCACCATTCATCTTTTAGTCATAAAAAGAAAATATATATATATGAAAGAAAATTAATTAACATTATAATAATAAAAAAATATAAAAATATAAATTAAAATTAATTACCTTTTTTTAACTTTGCTCTAATAACCAAAGCAGCATAACTAGTAGGAAACGTAACAAATAATCCTGCAGCCTCTTCAAAACTCAACCCATCAGGTATTAAGTATACATCACTACTTAATGCGGCAACACGTTCTGCAAAAGATCCTTGTGCGCTACCAAATACTTTATCTCCTGGTTTAAATGATTTTTTACAATTTTTCCCAGTTTTAATCACAATTCCAGAAAACTATGATCGATATAAAGAATTATTTTATCATTGAAGAATGTGGATGATATATAATTGAAAATTGTTTAAAATTTTATTATTACCTCAATTCCAGGCGTAAATGGAAAAGGTGGCTTAACTTGATATTTTCCTTGAACCTAACAAACGGGATTTTTTTTTTTCATTTTTTACCTCAATATCATCCATTATCGTGATATATACAATACAAATATGTATCGTTAACCACGCTAACATTCAACATTTACCTGTAAAATATCAAAAAAATTCAAAGCAGCAGCTCTAATCTCAACCAAAACTTGACCATCACCTAAATTTGGTTCAGGTGCATTATCATCAATCTTCATTTCATCAACATCTTTTAACCAATTATTTATTACAATAGCTTTCATATTTAGATGATTTTTTAAAAACAAATTCGATGGGAAAAAAAATAACTGCTATTTATATTTAGATCTTCATACATGATAATCACATTATTTTGACTAAACAGGACAGGGCCAATTACCCAACGATTAAATGTCAATTAATTTGGCGCCAACTTTAAAAACTAACTTTTTTTGCAAAAAAAAAGGCCTTATATCATCAAATTGCTACACTAAAGATTTTTATTTCTTTGATTTTTTGGGACTAAATACCAAATGCTTTTCATAATATTCAATCACCTGATCAGATAAAAAATTTTTATTTAGATTTCCGATACAATATATATACTCCGTGAAAAGTGAAAAAAATCATACCTTTTGAGGACATTTAGTATTTACAACTGCATTATAATGTTTAGTTAGTCTTCCATCCTTCCTAAAAAAAATTAAAATGTTAAAATTAAAAGGTTGAATTGATATCAAAAAAAAAAAAAAAAAAAATTGAATGTTACCATAAAATATAACAAACAACTTGATTATTTGAATTTTTTATCATTCCTCTCACTTCGACGACTTCATTTTCCCAATCTATATCATTATTTTCGTTTTCATATTGTCTCTTCCGTTTGCGGTCTTTTGATTCTTTCTGTTTCTTATCTTTCTTTTCTAGTAGCTCCTTATTCACCATTGGATCACTAATTTTAATGATTTCATTTACTTTAGTTAAACGAATTAGATTAAATAAAAATTAAATTCTTACATTTTATTAGCAATTATCCACTTTGGTTCCCTTAAAGATTTATATTTAACCAAATATTGAACCGCCGCCTAATATTTTGAGTGCAAAAGATTTAGTGCATCTTACACTAAAAAAAAAAAAAAAAAAAAAAAAACAAAAAAATTAATAAGTTACATTTCGATATTTAATTTCCATTATCTCATCCATATCAGACTCATGAAGATTTGATTCTTCCTCAATGCGACGATCCACCGCTTTTCCCTTTGAAATGGTAGTTAATGTATTATCCGCAGCATGTTTAGAAGTCGATTCATTTCGAAATACTATATGTTCCTGAGAAACATGATTTACTATCTCCTTTCCCGTATTCGTATTTACTTTATCATTATTTTCATCCTTTATGTCTTTACCATTCACAACCATACTCTTCTTTTCATCAACGTTCGGAATATTGTACGCATCTTTTGTAACAAATTGGATTTCACCAGACGATAATAATACAATTTCTTCTATTTCACCGTCTGTTAAGTATTCTTGCTCTTGCAATTTTGCACCTTGACTCATTGAATTATCCTTGACTTTATTTTCAAAAAATTCACGCATATCCTCAACATTAGTTGCTTTGTAAATCGTGCTTTCTTTATTATAACCTGTAGTCCTGGTTTCAGCATCCTTAGTTTTTATATCGGTTGCATCACTGTCACATCCATGTAAAACATTTACATCCTTGATATGGATTGGTGAATTATCATCGTAATTAGTATCACCAAATGATTCTTGGTTCTTTGGGCTAGAAAGGATGTCAGAAGGAACGTATTTATACTGTTTTTTCTGCTTTTCCGTTAAATTTGGTACCAAAACATAGGGAATTTGATTTTTTTGATTGGACATTTAGGAAATTTTCTTATCATTAATATAAAAAAAGAGGAAAGAAAAATTTAACAATTAAATTTTCATCAAAATAAAAGGTTTTTCTTTTTTTTTTTATAGACAAATTTAATTATCAACCTTCGGCATAATTTAGTATAATGATGTATCAATTTTACTTTTGATGCCATGATGTATAAAGCAATTTTGAGTCATCATTTTTAAGAGGACATTATAAAGTGACGCGTCAACTTTAAGTGGATTCGAAATTCGAGGAATAATCACGTGTTGGGGAAAGGTCAGATGATCGCTTATTCGATCAATTGATCATCTAATGAAACGATTGGGAGTAGCTCTGCACCAAATTTAGACAATTGTGGATCAGATTTATTAACTTGTATAAAAAGGGGCTAACCTGTATGTATAGTAGTTGTATTTGTTGACAAACACTTTTTCTTTTAAGGAGTAAAGAAAACCAAATAAAATAATTTCTTCATTTTTTTTTCTTTTTAAAAAAAAGGATGACAACGGAAAATTCTCAAGATTGTACAACGATCACAAGATTACCTTCGGAATGTTTTGACGAAATATTTAAACATTTGAAATTTGATAGGAGGTCATTATATTCGTGTCTTTTTGTTAACAGGTTTTGGTGTCGAAAAGTTATTCCAATAATTTGGAGGAGACCGATGCCGTATAATCCGGCAAGGAAGAACATAATTGACATAGGAGTGTTCATTCCTTTCTTTAACGAAGGAGAAAAATCATGTTTATCTAGCGAAGGGATTGATCTCTCGGATTTATCAAAACGTCCAACTCCTTTATTTAATTATGCGCAATATATACATATCCTTGATATTGGAGCTATTGAAAAAGCAACAGACGTTTGGATTAAGAATTATAGTGTTTTAAGTTCACAACAGTTTGAAACCTTTGAAACTTTGAAAAAGATGAAATGGATATTACAAAAACCTGATGATTCAGATTCTTTATTACAACAAACATTAAAACGGATCAATGAGGAACATACAATTTCACCACGAGCAAAAAATGCCATGATTGATTCTTTATGCAACATGTTTATGAGAAGTGCGTCAAATTTGAAATATCTAATCTTAAGTCCTTATGTTAATGTCAATGACAAAGATATACCAAAAAGTAGGATTTTTATCGATAATGAACCGGGATTGGCCAATTTGCGAAAGCTTAAGCTTCGTTTTTTCGCGAACTTGTTAGATCAGCACGAGCGAAGGGAGAATTTATATGACCTTTTAAAATTATTACCAAATGTTTGTAATGGACTCGTTCACCTGGATGTTAATAGAATAAAGGTTCCAAATTGTATGATTGCGGAAATATTAACGGGATTAATCAAGTCACAACCAGAGTTAACTTATTGTCGCTTTTATAAGGTATATGGAGACATGACTAAGTTGATCGATGCGTTACCTGTTCACAAATTGATGAGTTTGGTGTTGGATGATTTGAGCATTTCTGGGTTTTCCTTGGCCTCTCTTTCACGAAGTACCAGATTAGAATCTTTAGTCTTTAGAAAATGTCGTACATTATCACTTGAATTAATTCAGCCTATTCTTAAAGCTCCCATTAGACTAAGGTTTTTATATCTTAGTGATTTACCAAAAGATGTTATAAAAGCTATCATCATTAAAGCGAGTGAAGCGTTAGAACAAGTTTCGATTAAATTTAGATCGGAAGATATTAGCGAAGGACTTGAAACATTGGTGAATCATTGTCAAAACATTACTCACTTATCCTTAAGCGCTTATACTGGGCAAGTTGATATAGCAAGCGTAATATCTATTATAAGTCTTTTAAAAAATATCACTCATTTAAAATTAAGTTTTGGCAATTTTAACGTTGGGGATGAATTGGAAAATGAATTTTCAAAGCTTCAATTAGAAAAATTGCAATATTTGGAGCTAATTAATTTTGATATTAA